GAGGCGGGCGCCTGTAGTCCCAGCCACTTGGGAGACTGAGGCAGGAGAATTGCTTGAACCCAGGAGGTGGAGGTTGTAGTGAGCCTACATCTCGCTACTGTACTCCAGCCTGAGCGACAGGCTGGTCTAAAAAAAAGACTTGGTCTAAAATATATATATATACACACACACATATATATAGGTGTATATATATACACATATGTATACATATGTGTATATATATACACATATGTATACATATATGTGTATATATATACACATATGTATACATATATGTGTATATATATACACATATGTATACATATATGTGTATATATATTCTTTTTGTACAAGAGGGTTTCTTTTTAGTCATGTGATGGTGAACAGATTATCTAATCTCTCTAAATTCGGTTCTTTTTTAGTGATAATAACACCAGTCTGATTATTTCACTTGATTAGTGCAAGGATCAATTAGGATAATATGTATTAAAAATATGAACTGTAAAGTGCTCAATCAGATAAAAAATATTAAATATTGTATGCAGTAAAGGTTGAAGGTTACATGCTTAGATTTGGGAGCCATATTACCTGGGTTTCAATCCTGGCTTTGTCTCTTTTTATCTGTGTGACACAGGGCAACCTAAAGTTTGTGTGTCAGTATTCTCATTCATAAAATGTTAAAAATAATGATGCCTACCTCATGTGGTGATGTGAAAATCAAAGAAGTTCATATACATAGTGGGCTTAAAGCAGTGCCTGGCATAAAACACTGTAATCATTCTAGCTGTTGTGTTTTTATGTGCATGTTAGCACAAAACTAAATGCTGAATTATTTGCATGGGAGTGGGTTACTGTGAAATTAAAGAAAAAATCTCATATTTATGCTTCAAGCAGCATAGCACTTTGCTTATCTAACAAATTCATATTTGATTATAAGCCATTAGTGACAGTTAATGAAAGGGATTATGTTTGAATTAAGCAGTTATGAATATCCATCTCAGAAGCTTACTTCTCTTGCTATTTGAATTAAGAGACTATTCTCATTTAACACCGACTTATTCAGATAAAGTTCACAGTGTTTTTGTCTTGTTCATCATGTTTATACATTAAATGAAAGGTTTCAACCCTAACTACACATTGGAAGCAACTGGGTCCCCCGGACCAGTTCAACTGAAAAATCTGGGGGTGGTACTCAGACCTTGGTATTTTTTATAAAGATCCCCAAGTGATTTTAATGTGAGGCAGAATTTAAAAGCATTGTCTTAGAGCAGTAGTGATTAAATATATACCTATATCATTTAGTTTCTGACATTGATAGATAATTTTGTCATATTTAAATAAACAAAATAATGGCCAGGCAAAGTGGTTCACGCCTGTAATCCCAGTGCTTTGGGAGGCTGAGGTGGGTGGATCACTTAAGTTCAGGAGTTTGAGACCTGGGCAACATGGTGAAACCCCCATCTCTACTAAAAATACAAAAAAAAAAAAAAAAAAAAAGAAATTCTGGACTTGGTGGCATGCACCTGTAATCCCAGATCGTCAGTAGGCTGAGGCATTAGAACTGCTTGATCCTGGGAGGCGGAGGTTACAGTGAGCTGAGATTGCACCATTGCACTCCAGCTTGGGCGTCAGAGCAAGAGTCCATCTCAAAAATATAAAACAAAATAATATGGCTGTTTATGGAGGTTTCTTTAAAGGCAGACCTATTGTTTCTATTAAGTTTGTATCTTGTGAGTATATGTCACTAAGCAGAAATGAGAAGTTTGATTGTTTTTAAATTATGTGTGTGGTTTTTTTTGGCATGATGAAGTGCTGTGTGTATCAAATAAGAATATAGACTTGCAGAATGTGAAAGGTAAGAGGGAGCCTCAAAGGCATCTAGTTCAAGAGGACACACATTGAAGTCAGTTCTGACTTGGAGTGACTTATTTACTTACTGGGTGTGTAATCTTGTGGCACTTACTTAACCTCCCTGAGCTGCAGTTTCTTCATCTCTGTAAAATTGAGACGTACATGTATTTTCTGCGATGACAACTGTGTTTCACGCTACACACACACACACACACACATCTATACTCTCTGCCTCCTGCCTGATTCTTTCACGATACACACACACACACACATACACACACACACATACACACACATACACACACATCTTTACTCTCTGCCTCCTGCCTGATCCCCGCACCATCTGGCACGGATATCCAGAGCAGGGACTGTGTGGGAGCCTCAGCGGGACTGTCTGAGCCTGCAGGGCCAGCTGCTAGGGACTGCTTCCTCCCACTCTTCAGGGATCATTTCTCTGGCTCTGTTGGGACTATTTCGTGGTTGGCTGTTCAGATCTCATGACCTTTCATGAGCATAACATTTAGTCTGTGGGGGTCAGTCGCTGTTGGTCAAGTAGAGTGAAGCTGTTAATGAGACTAGAGATGAAGATGGCTTTTTGCTGCCGTATGATGGAGGCTTTTGGGTACCCTCTGTTGGTACCCTCTGTTTGAACCCCAGAAAATATGTGTGCAGGACACTGATGGCTGCTTCCTCTTTCCAGCTGGCTTCCTCTCCATTGCTACTTTGTGTTGAGTTGGGACACTAGGAGGCCACTATCTATATCTTAGTTTGGGGGAAGGAGAGAAAAATTACAGACCTCTTGAGTTTCTTTTTATGATAGTAGGAACAGTGGATTTTCTCCTTTCCCACCCTTGTCTCTTTGATCCTCCAGCATAGGGCTATAAAATTATTAGGCCACTCAGCAATCCTGTTGCACATTCTTTGTGTACAAGGAAGAAAGTTCATGGGTTGTTTCTTAGCAGCTGTAAAGTAAATGCCTGAGGTCTTGACCTTAGCTATCGTGTTTCAGCATCCTTCCTACTCACTGGCAGGCCTGGCTTTAGTACTATCCTCAGCCTTAATTTTGAGAATTCTGCTTGCATCACTGTCTCTCTCAACTGATCTTAATGTTTCATTGGAAATATTTATTAATCCAGCTGCCATTTTTCTGAATTTTCCTCTGTTCACTGGAATTGGTGTCAGGTGCTCATAATGAGAAGTATCGGTAGCTTTATTGATTTTTTTTTTTTAGGTGGTGATCTTGAAACATTACACCTGTGGGATGAGTTTTCTAATTGAAGTCTGTGCTCCTCCACTAGATTATGAGACTCTTGAGGGTAGGAACCATGTTTTTCAGCTTAGCATAGCCGTATCTCTCATTTATTACACACCTACTGTGTGTCAGAGATGTTGCTCTATTATTTCAGTGTATTCCCACAAAAATAAGGTACACATATATAACAAATCTGCACATTCTGCACTTGTATCCCAGAACTTAAAGTATAATAATAAAAAAAAATTTAAAAAGGTCATTAAACTAAAAAAAAAAAAAAGGTACATATAAGGAATCTTATTTCAGAAGAGCTTAAGTAAATTGCCCCAGGTCATCTCGCTAGTGAGTCACAGAACTTGCTTTTGCATTCAGTTTGACTTTAGAGCCTCTTTTCTAAATCACCTTTCCAACCTCCTTCTTGCAGAAAAGGACAGATGCACATAAGAGGACTGGGATCTTGGCCTGTAAAATGTTGGATGGTTCTCTTAAGTAGGAGACAGTTATGGAGCTGCATTCTTAAAGAAGAAGATAGAAAGTTTGCATGTCTTCAAAGCCCTTGTTGTTCCCACTGAACTACATTGACTTGCATCACTGGCATACATGGGCACTTACATAATATAAGTTTGTTGAGAGCTGGACCCTACCACCCCAGAGGCAGAAGTCATCTGATGGAAGGCTTTGGCCTGTTTGTGGGCCTTCACTTCATGCTTTTTACTTAGAACAGAGAGGCTGAGATTATGTGAATTTGTCTCTCACTGATAAGGCCATGGGTTGAGGCCATCAGACAAACTCTGAGAACTGGAATGAATCCATGGTGATAAGATGTTCGGAAGGGCCAGGAGTGTGTTGAAGTCAGTATTGGCTTGCTACAGTTAGGAGATGCTGTGCAGTCAGCCTCTATGCTTGTGGTTTAGGGCATTAGAATGTGCCTGCCCACTTTGGCAAGAAATAGGAAGTGCATAAATGCTTTCTCAACCTGAAGCTTTGTTGGATGTGCTCAGAGAACATTTCCTTTTAATGTATTTGGAAACTATAAATTTAACTCCTGCTGGGAGTGGAAGTAATTGCTTCACACAAGAAAAAAGCTAGCTCTTTAAAAGGCTGAACTCCTTTCACAAATATGTGCTTTTTAATGACTGGGAAATTCCTGGTACAGAAAAAAATGTCCTTTTGTACAAATGAGGTCATTCTGGTCTTAAGTGGCCCTGTGCACTCTAGTTCCTGCTTTCTGTTCCATGTTTTGTGACCAGAGGTTATTGGAAGGATCATCCCTCTGTGGATATTCACTGCTTTTTTGAACTTGTTGCCAAGGGGAAAGTGAGCTTAGGAACTGCCAAGCCAGTGCCAGAGGCCCAGATCCAAGGGGGTACTGAGCTAGTGACTGATAGTGATTGCGTTTAGATTGGTCATGGATTGGGTTGTTAAAGCATGCTTTCTGTGTGTGCTAGGATCCCTGTGTCTGATTCATTCTCCTTAGATTTCTGAACCATTCCACTGCTTCTTGGTTCAGGAATGATTTTTCTTTCCTAGGTGCATATCATTTACTCTGCTTTGAGTCTACTTGGATGAGTAGAAACATCTGTGCCAGTCTGAGGCCTGGTGTAAATGAAAAGCAGCTGCTGAAAGAAGTTGCTCTGTACCTCTCCTTTGAATGCTTGCAAGCTGATTCCTCCTGAAGTTAATTTGTGAATTGGCTTGGCTAACATGCAGTAGGTATCTGAGGCCTCAGATTTGTGTGGTGAAAGGGTTCTCCTACATGGTAATGTAGAGTAGATCTCAGTGGATGCCCTTGATTCAATTTAAGCTCACTTTCCTCTAACTTTAACCACTGCCTACCAAGGAGGATGTTAAAGATTCGAAGAGTGTTAGGTAGGGAGAGTGTTACATCTGTCTTGGATGTTTTTATAAAGAGGTGGACATGGAGTGGGTGCAAGTGAGATTTGACATAGACCTCTGGGTCTCTTTTTTTTTGAGGCAGAGTCTCACTCAGTCACCCAGAACGGAGTGCAGTGGGGTGATCTTGGCTGCCTGCAACCTCTGCCTGCTGGGTTCAAGCAATTCTCATGACTCAGCCTCCCAGGCAGCTGGGACTACAGGCATGTGCCACCACGCTGGACTAACTTTTAGTATTTTTAATAGAGACAGGGTTTCACCAATTTGGCCAGGATGGTCTTGAACTCCTGACCTCAAGTGATCCATGTGCTCGGCCTCCCAAAGTACTGGGATTACAGGTGTGAGCCAGAGTGCCCGGCTCCTGGGGTCTCGTTTAGACAATATATGTTTAAGATAGCCACTTTGAAGGATTAGCGATTGGAAATTGATATTTATTAACTGCTTCTTAGGTACCAGCACTATGCTAGACCTTTTCTGCAGATTACCTTTTTAGAGGTAGAAGGCTTGTGTAGTTAATTAGCAGCAGCCCGTGAGATTCCCAAGCTACCATGCTGCCTCGCATCTTGAAGGGTTTGTGTTACATTCGTGTTCCCCTAGAATTCATCCTTGGCTGTAATTGATCAATGTTTTGATGAGGCCTTGAGTGCTTTCTTTCTGCTTAATTGACTACAGGTTTTTGTTGTTTAAAACATTCTCTCTCTTGCTACTGAGAACTTGGTTCTTATCATAACTTCCTAATATAATCTAGGTTCTAGGATCTTGGTGCCCCATTCATGACTCTCTAAGTCTGAAACTCCAAGTTCAGTCTCTGTTGCTTAATTTCTTGATCTGGGATTAAAAACCTCTGTCTTGAGGCATTGTGGAGAAGAGATTATGAAATGTGGTCATGAGTTGCTTAGATATTTGTTGCAGACCCCATTTTTGGCCTGAAACACTTGTGGCCCATCCAGTACGCTCCAGAAAGAACCTTTGCTTGAATTCTCTTGGGACCTGGAGGAAGTCAGGCTGACTGCTGTGACAGTCATGGCTGTGGGCCCTGGATCATTGGCTTCCCATCCTACTCTGCCTTTTTATTAGTCTCCTCAAAGAACAGGGAAAAAAAAGATCATTTAAGTTTAAAAATATCCCTTATTATAAAGTTGACTATTTTAACTCAATTTATCACTGCTTGCTAGACCATCTTTGAAAACCTTGTTAAAATGTAGAGGAAAATATGTAGACGTGCCATTTCATTTAAGTTGGTCATTACCTCATGCGGATTACATATGCTGGAAAGGAAAAACTGTGACTCATGTTTCTGCAGGGCACCCTCCCCACTACCCCCAAGGCCTGGGTTTATTGTAGGCAGCCAATGAGTATTTTATTGAACTTAATAGCTGGCACAAAAGATTTGAAGAAAACATTCCTAGGAAATACTATCATAATTGAAATTGGGAAGTTCTGTGTAATTGCTGAGTGCCTCATTAGTTTCTGTGAGGAAAATACAAGGCATGATGCAAAATGGGTTAATATTGTAGAAGGAAAACTCGCAAGAGGTAAATCAGAAGCTTCACCTATCTGCCTACGATGCTCACAATGGGAATGGTACTGATTTGCTGATAATATGTTTTTATTATTATTATTATTCTGTAGCCTCAGACGATACAGCAAACTCTCAAGAGGACACTGCAGTATTATGAACATCAAGTTATTGGGTAAGTAAAAATTGATTTTGGTTATTATTGGGGGAAAATTAAAGGTGATTACTCAAACGTAGCTGTTGAGTATGTGATTTTCTGCTACCCAGGTCAACCTTATTTTACAGTGGCTGTGTTCTCACGGTGTTGGGGGTGAAGGCTTATTGGGGGGGGTCCCTTGGAGTGATTTCTTTTGGCTTATTTGTGCTTAATTCTTTTAAATGAAATTACTTTCTGGTATTGCTTTTCCTTTTTTTTTTTTTTTCTTGGTCTTCTCATGTTCTTACTGTCTTATTCCGATGTTGACTCGTATAATTTTGCCTTACTAATGTGGTAAGGTTTATTGGTACCCACCCAGATGCTTTGAATGGGATTTTAGAATCCTTAAGTAGAGTTTGATAAAAATCACTACAGCCTTAACACAGTTCAGTGAGAGGAATTAGTTTACTTACAGTCATGTGCTACGTATTTTTGTTTATTTTCGCCTATTTCTTGAAGTGGTTGTGGTGTGGTGTAAAGTAAGAAGACTTGAGGTCAAAAGACAGGACTTCAAGGCCTCACTAGCACATAGATCTTTTACTAAGTAACTTTATCTCTTTTGTAAAATGTGATGATAATAATAACTAAATCAAGGATTAGATGTAATGATTAAATGAGGTAATTTCAATGAAACCATTTTGTAAACAGAGAGCTCCAGATGAGTACGAGGTACACCTCTCATTGGCTATGGCAGAAAGCAATTGGCAAATATGAAAGCCTAAATTTACTTACTCATGCAATCTAGCTTTTAGATTCAATTTATTGACATTAGAGACAATGTATATTTTTAATTTACCTTGTTAGTATTCTTTACGTGGCACAGTGATTTATCTTTGTAAGATTTTAAGAACTTTTGAGAAGTCAGTATTCAAACTGGTACTTCTTGAACTGTTCTCAGGATCATTCAACATTTATGGCTAATAGTCATTGCCATAGGGATCAAGAACATAATTTTGGCTGTTAGGGTATAGTGTGATTTTTTTTCACAGAACAGAAGGGAAGAATTCTTAATGGAAAAATAATCTTGGTACCTAGTACAACGCCTTATACTTTAAATGCTTGATGATTATGTTAATTGTCATTTCAAAAGGAATTGCTTTGAAACTTTGTCATACTAATCCTCAAGAGTGTAGTTCAAGGAAAAACATATTATTTAAACTCTTGAGATGGCTTTTAGTTTGAGGCCATTAGTGATTTTAAATCGTTTATCCTAATGGAGATAAAGAATGTCAAATTAATCTTTCTCCACACATCCTAGAATAAAACTTAATCACTCTCATTGAATTAGCTGCTTTCAAAGTATGGTGTTTGGATTAAATTAATAAAGTAGTTCCTTGTATGTGGTGAGCACTACATACTTGTTTGCTCTTATGTTTATTGTTATTATTAATATTTTTATGACAATATCCATCAAAGTCTAATCATTTTCTGGGATTATGAATGTTCTTTCTCTTTTGAAATAAAATAACTGATGAAATACTCTCATTTGTGAACTAAAGTATGTAAAGTATGCCTTCAAGGCAAATTGGAGTGGGACTCTTATAATGTGATCCAAATAGATAACCAAACTATATTGCTATAATCAGAAATTTTTTTTTCACCTTTGATAGAATGGAGGGAGTTCTCTTTTATCCAGCTAGCTGCATCAGCCCTCCCCTTCTGCCTATGTAGACATTTGGCCTGTGGTGATTCTTTGTCCATTGCATGAATGGTCTTTTCCTAGTTTTGTTTATTACATACACAGTATAAAGAAAATGGAGAGTTTGACACCAGTATAAAGAGGGGTCTTGATGTCTGGCATGATTCAAATAGGCCTATTAGCATATTTTTGCTTGAGTTTTGGCTGATTTCTCGGACTTGAAGCACCTTTGCTCACTGACTTTATTTGCATTCATGCTGATGAAGACAAAGGGGTCCTGTTGACAGCAATTTTGCCACGTTTGCCTTTCTTGACTGTATTCCCCTTTCTTGCCTTTTTTCTCATTGATGACTTTCCTGTCCAACTTCCTCTTTTGTCTTTTATTCTCCATCTTTCTACTTTTTATTTCTCTTTTCGCAATCAAAAAAGCAGAGCAGCTAATATCACTCACCCTTGAACTAAAAAGTATTTGCAACTGTGTGTTGTTCCTCTTAAGAAAATACAATTTAAGTCTTCTTATCTCTAATTGTGAAAAAGAATGTGTTTCTTACAGTTAAAGGGATTTCAGAATCCCTGAATTGAGAATTGAGAGTAAGTGCCGACAAGCATAATTTTAGTTATTTTTCAGCAGGCGAGGTGGGAAGGAGATGCTTTTCCTAATCTCCGAAATGGGGCTTGCTTAAAGGTGTCTTGAAATAACTCAGCATTTAAATACTTTGTGTTGAGGTGTTGAAGCAAAACAGGTAACAGAGTGTGAGCTAGCCCTTCTCTTTTTAATTTCTTAATTATCCTTCAATCACTAACCTTCCTTTCCTTTCCTTGAAAACTCTGCCCTTAATCTGTGTTATTTATCAGAGCTCTAGGATTGTACAGTTCTGCTCCTTGGATTCTTATACTGGTTGCCCATAGAAACTCTCTGAGGCTTTTTTTGTCTGCCAAGACTGAGACTTGAACGCAGGGAGCAGCTGTTCCGAAGGGTCACAGACAGAAGGACTGGGAGGGAGTAGCCGATGGGGCTTCCTGTTAGGGAGTAAGATAGCCTCTCTGTACCTCATCCACTTTATCTTTAAACATTATTCTACTCCTTAATTTATCCATTCACTCGTTCATTTATTTATTCATAGAGATCATTCAAGTTGGGGAAATGAGTGCTAAAATAATTTATTCATGCAATGTGATAAATCTTCTTCTCTTCATCTCCACTATCGTCATCATCTCTCACCAAGACATTCTGGTCTGATTTTCTGGTTTCTACTTTTGTCCGCCAATATGTATTTTCACCACAGCAAAATGATAAAAAATTAGATCATGCCACCTTCTTACATGAAACCAATGGTTCTCAAATGTTAATGTGCATCAGAATCACCTGCCAGCCTTGTTAAAACACATATTACTGGGCCCTGCTCCCAGAGATTCTGATTCCGTGGGTTCAGATGGGGCTCAAGAAACTGGCATTTTTGACAAGTTCCCAGGTAGTGCTGATGCTGCTTGTCCATGCATCACACTTTGAACCCCCTGCTTTAAACTATATAATGGCGTATTATGGTAGAATAAAGTCTAAATTCTTTCTGTGATCTGGCCTCTGCCTCCCTCTCTAATTTCATCCCTTTCCACTTCCCTTTTTTTCACTCCATTTCAGCCTTCTGTTGGTTTCTCAACTTGCCAACCTTAGCTTCAGGGCCTTTGTATGTATCGTTTCATTTTTATGTAATGCTCTTTCCCCAGATGTTTGCATGACTTATTCTTTATATACATATAGATCTCTGTTAAAATGTCTTCTCTTCAGGAAAGCCTGCCCTGATCACTCCATCTAAAGCATCTCTCCATCACCTACCTCAAACTCCAATTGTGTCAGGTTGACTTTGTGGAAAATTTTGATTGCTATATAAACTCTACATATTCATGCTCACTTGGAGAGCTTCTTGTTCCCATAGCACTGATTTTCCTTCACCTAGAATGAGTAAGGGGGTATTGAGTGTGCATCTTTATGTTAGTTGCTCTTTAACTCAAACTTCTAGGGAATGGACTTTCTGGGTGTTGTGGGGTGGAAAGATTAGTGAGAAGCAGAAGGGGTCAGTAGGAGACAGGCAGGATTCACTTTAGAAATTAAAAGAAACTGAGGATGGAGGAATGTCTGTTTATAATAGTACTTCTTTTCTTATATAATTTTTGCCATTATCTTGTGCCGTTTCTTCTCTTTGTATGTTGTGGAAAGATTGTGTTTTGTAAGTAGACATATGAGAATTACTAGACATAAAGTCAAGTTTTGCTATTGAATAATCTTGGGAAGATTACTTAAAATCCCTGAGCCTCAGTTTTCTCATTTTAAAAATGGGAATAATAACAGTGTTGTGGTGAAGTTTAAATGAAATCTTAATGATAATAATGTATGAAGTCACATAATTACATAAAGTAGTTAGCATAGTACCTGGTACATAAAGATAATCAATAAATGAATTGAATTATTATTACTACTATTAGTAAATGACTCTTTTGCAATTCAACTTTTGTTGATTATCTTCAGTTTATCCTCCTGCTGCAATCTTTTCCTGTCTTCGTTGGGACTTTTAAAGTTTAGAATCTGTTGTTTAGCGTCCGGAGCTGAAGATGCGCAGTTTGTGTTCTAGCAACAGTTTTCTTCTTAAAGAGAACACTTTTTTGTTGATTTTTTTTCTTTTTTTGACTGAAAGTTCTGTCTCTAGAGGGCTTGACTCAATTGCTGTCACTCATATTTGTACTACATGACTCCTACTGGTCTATGGCTCACAAAAATTGATTGCCATGGCAGTGTAGATGAAGCACAGATTTCTTCAGTAAACTGCTGTGGGAGATGTGATAATCTTTCTGAGATACAGTGTTCATTCACTATATATTTTAAACAATAAAGAATAAAGAAATGTGTATTCAGAACCATGCCACTAATTTTATTTTATTTTTATTTTTTTTGGCCAGAATAAGCATTGTTGTGTTAATATCATGGGTAGGACTATTGCCAAACTCATATTAGTCTGGGATAGCAATTCTTACAGTCATCTAAAATTAAATTGTATTGCTCCAATTATTAATGTGAGCCCTATGTTTGTTTTATACAGCCAGCCTTCTGTTCTCTTTTTCTTTTGACAATTGAGGAGAAATTAAGCCAGAATAATTTCAGTAGAACACTAGAAGTGAAATTAAGAGTGGGTGAATTCTGATTATTCTGGGAAACAAACTTCAAGGATATTACTTAAGCTATCATAATCAGATTTTGTGGCTTAAATTATTTTATCTAAAAATGATCTAGCTTCTTTTTCATATATTTACATAGAAAAACTGTATCTTTTTGAACATAAACAGATTAGACAAAAGCTAATATCTATTGGTTGCTTACTGTGTTGGAGGAGATATGCTGGGCACGTTCCATCTTTTATTTAATCCTAAACATATTGCATAAGAGTACTGTATTAAGCACATTTTACAGTTGAGGAAATTGAGGCTGAGAGAAAGAAATACTTTTTTAAGGTCATTCTGATAAAAATGGTGGAGGTTGAATTAAAAATAACCCTGTGGTTGCCTGTGTTTAACATCTGTGCTCCCTGTTCCACCTCTTGAGTGACTCCTGCATTCTGGAAACTGTGGCAGGCATTTTGCCTAACTGGTTTATTGGAGTCTGATCTCAATGAGGTATACAAACATGAAACCATTTTATTTTTCCCTCCACTCACATCAAACATGCTAGGTTACATCCCCTTCGATATTAGCTTAGATTGCTCTGTTTTCTAAGTACTTCCAAGAATTATGAAGTTCACTCCAGGCCAATTTAAATCTTTACTCTCATATCCAATCTGACTCTAATGTTCCTTTCCCTGTCTGGGTCAGGCCTTGGCCTAAGAGACTTGGAATGCAGGACAGAGTGTATGATGTGGGTTTTCACTCCTCTTCTCCAGGCCATTCCTTTCTGGGTCCCTTTCTCTTATGTATTGGTTGAAGCATGAATGAAATGGAAAATGGCAGAAGCCTTTTTAAATTTGCTGGGGTTGTAGCAGTCCTCTCTTGGCTGTGATGCACTCGCTAGGGTGCATATATGAGTTCTGCCCTGACTGCTTCGGATGCCACAGCTCCCACACCTGAGGACTTCACTCTCTTGGTCTTGCTAGTGGGAGCCCTGTCCCTGGCTGGTAGCCTCTAGATTGGAAGAGCACCATGACAACCAGACAACTCAAGCTTGCCTCTCTCTTCCCTAACCCATGAGAAACTCACATATTTGCCCTGCCAAATGGTGGGCCTTTAGGTTGCTCCCAATTTTTCTCGATTTCTTTTCCTTGTTAATGACTCTCTCCTGAGTCTTCTTCCTTTTGTCAGTCAGACATGGGAGTATGATCAGGAAATCCACTGCCTCTGCAGACGTTCACTGGGGAATGAGATGGGAGATCCCCAATCTCTACCAGCTATGGACCCCCCTCACCAACTGGATGTCTGCAGGGAACACTCCCCTTCTCTCCTTTTCTAGGAGGGGAGGTGGGGGAAGCACAATAGCACTCTCTTCCTAGGCCAACTCCTGACTCTTCTGAAGATTTTATTTTGAAGTCTTTCTATTCCTTTGCTTCTGTAAGCTGGTGGTAGGGTGACAGGGGCAGTGGCTATTTAGTCTCCTCTGAAGTCCTGAAGAAGAGCTCTGGTCTTCTTGGCTACCCCTTTAGAATGTGGGAGGATTTGGCCTTTAATGTCCTCAGCTTATTTTGTCTTAGCTCTCATTCAGAGGCAACTCAAAAAGTCCCAGTCAATATCCAGTTACACAGACATTGTGTTATTTAGTCCGTACTTCCATTTTATGGGAGAGGAAAGTTAGACTAACAGAGATTAGGTTACTTGCCCAAGATCTCACAGATAGAAAATGGTAAGACCATGACTCAAATTTTGCCAGGGGTTTGCTGCTTTCTTTTTTTTTTTTTTTTTTTTTGAGGCAGAGTCTTGCTCTGTCACCCAGGCTGGAGTGCAATGGCGTGATCTCGGCTCACTGCAAGCTCCACCTCCCAGGTTCACGCCATTCTCCTGCCTCAGCCTCCTGAGTAGCTGGGACTACAGGTGCCTGCCACCACGCTCGGCTAATTTTTTGTATTTTTAGTAGAGACAGGATTTCACCGTGTTAGCCAGGATAGTCTGTGGTCTCAATCTCCTGACCTCGTGATCAAACCTCCTCAGCCTCCCAAAATGCTGGGTTTATAGGCGTGAGCCACTGCGCCTGGCGTATACTGCTATCTTCTTGACTGTGATAAAGGTTATGGTGTGTTGACCTTCAACACTGTTGAATGCCAGGACACCAAATTAACATTGTTAACTTTTCCTTTTCTAGGCAGCTTCCTCATAGAAGCAGATCACTAGCCTTGATGACGTGCTTACAGAGTGATACATTAGCTATACAAAGCTGATATATTTTTCGTTCTCCTCAATTTTTTTCACACATAGCTTTCTTGTTAACAGTTGCCTTCAGTTCCAGGTCTACACTGCAAATGCTGATGTGAATGGTGGGTTACGCCAGAATTATGTCTCAAAGCTTCACTTATTTTAAAATGTGATTATGATGAAAGCATAGACTGCGTGTGCCTGTGCGTATGTATATGAGTTGCATTCGCAGATGCTTTCAAAAATTTCTCCTTATGCTAATTTTGTTTTCTTCTTAGTTACAGGGATGCAGAAAAGAATTTCCACAATATCTCTAACAGATGCTCCTATGCAGAACACTCCAACAAAGAAGAAATCGAAGATGTCTCAGGAATTCTTCAGTGTACTGCCAATATACTCGGTATATTAACTATATATTTATATGATTGAGAGAGAATGAAAGAGAGGGAATGTCGAGGTGGAAACGTTTCATGTTCTACCAAAGAGAGATTTGGAGAATATGGCAAGTTGAGACCCAGACCTTGTGAAGTGATGGGTGTTAACTCTCCTGAAGATGTTTGAGTGGAAATTGCTTGCATGCCACTTACTTAGAGATGGAAAAACATGAAAACAAAAATACTTAAATTCCAGGGAAACAATTTCAAATATTCACATGTGAATAGTATTAGCCTTGCGTAATTCATATTTCTTTGGCCCTTATTCTCAGCTGAAGTTGTAGGATCTTTTTTTTTTTACTCTCAGTCATACTCTGTTATTTCTGGGAGGTCTTGGTTGGGGCAGAAGGGTGGCCCACAGGTACTCTTAACACTGTACAATCCAGCGTTCCTTTCTGTGGCCTTGTCAGTGAAGCAGGTCATCTACTGAGGTGTCTTTGCCCTTCTTGGGGCTGGAGGAGTGTCCGTCTTAAAGGTATTTGGACTTATGGCAGAGGGGCTGTTTTTGGATGCTCCAATATGGCTAAAAGGTAGTGTGGTAGGTTGCATCCAATCATACAGCCTTAAGCTACCATAACTGAGCTGTTCTACCGTGCTACCTGAAGTTCTTGGTATGTGAGAGCTACCTTGTATTCCATGCAAAGTGTTCTAAAAGAAATACATATTTATTCTTGATGTCTTACAGATGTTTCTAGTGAGAAATTTCTCTTTAAGTTCTTTTTAGAATCCTTTCTTCTTTATGACCCAGATAGGAATCCATGGGGTGCTGGAGGGTGCTAGTGGGGAATAACAAATCTTAGTGAGCGACTCCACACAGAATGCAGAATCTCTTTTGGGGTCAGGTGATGGAGAATAGGGCAAACTAGTTTGCATGTTCTTTCTTTTCCTTTAAAGTACTTTTCCCTGGAGACATCTGAGTTTCTCCTACAAACAATTTCCAGGTCACCCCAACCCAAGAGTCTATCAGATTTTTCTAAACATGCCTGACTTCTAGAGGTAGACTTCTTTTACATTCAAGCTGGGAATCCAGCCGCCAGTTGGCTACATTTTCATCCTAGGTAACTTTTGTAAACACAAAATCGAATAATAAGAAAATGTATTCTTTTTTGTGAGGGGAGGCATATAGATGTTAGTGGTTTGTCTAACATCTATAACACTATGCAGGACGGTGATGGGTAGTGAAAAGGAGGCCAAAGATTCATCACCTTAATCTTAGAACAACTGCAGGGATGTCACAATACCCAAGTAAATCTTATGATTGGAGAAAATCAGAGGTGAGATTAAAAGAGACATTACCCGAGAGTTTAAAGTTTTCTGATTTTATATTTTCAAGGACTTTCCTTTCAGTAACATCTATTTCTCTTAATGCATTGTGATTTCAAGGGGTGGGGTGATGATGCCACACTAAAAGGGATGTATCAGAATCTCAGTGAAGGGATGTTTAATCTTTTGAGACGTTGTTTCTTAACCAGTTCCTAAGCATTTTCCTGACCCTTACATCTTTCTTCTTTATGCTCCCTAGTTTTATAATCACTGAGTTAGAGGGAATAGGAGGTGTTCAAAGATAATGATTACACTGGGGTGCTAAAGGTAGTTGGACTGTGGCTTGTAAATGAGTATGCAGAATTTTCACGGAAAGAAACCCTGGGTCAGACAATTTGAAATGGTGACCACCAGGGGACACTGTTGGCCCAGCACAGTTTAGTTGCCCTTCAAAAGTTGCCCTGAGATGCTGAATAAGTCGTGAGTGAGAAGTCAGCAGGCAATGTGCTGCCTGATGACATTAGGGTAAGTGAAGTGTTTATAACTTAGAAGGTGATTGTGTAACAGGGTTTAGATTTCCATGAATACTAACTTTTTTTTTTTTTTTTTTTTTTTTTTTACCAAAGAGATACTAGGTCTGATTATTTTCTTCCTCTGAGTAATGATAGGTTGTTCTCAAGATTTAAAGCACAATCTTGTAAAGTTTAAATTTCTGGAGATTAACATTTAATGCCTGCCACCTGCCAACCAGATGCTGGCACAGATGATTATGTGCCTAAGAGGTAGCTGTTCTCTTTGACTAATGTATTTTAAGAATCTTGATATATTGATGCTCTGAGGACAGCTTTAGTGGTCATATTCAGTAAAAGCTTTGTTTTTAACAAGTCACGGAGCTATGATTAATCTTGGCTTGCTTAGATTTTATCTTTTTTTAAAGTTGTGTTTAAATTCTCTTGTGTAATCATATATGAGAATGAAAGAATTGGTTAGCTTACTGGACAGAAAAGCACCACATAAAAAAATTATTTTTTGGGAGGGTATTGGGGGGTGGCACCGGAAAATAGCATTTCAACCAAGTTAAGAACAATTTTGATGCCTGGGAACCTTTCTTTTGGATGGCAGAAGGCAATGTTCCAACTCCATGGTTTGTATTGATCACCTTTGGGGAGTGTGATTAGAATATTGGTGGTTTATTCACTTATTTGTATGTTATTTATACTTCATCATCAAAAAAGACTTGAAGTCATAGATCACAAAATATGATCATAGTAGCAATTTTTCTCCTTCCAAAATGATCATTTCTACCTAGTTAGTATAAACAACTCCTCTAGAAAGTTTGGTCATTTACTGGCTCTTCAGGTTGAAGTTTGCATTTAGAGGGTGACATGGAATAAAAATGAGGACCTGAAGAGAAGGAGAAAGTGAGTTGGAGAACACCTGTTATGCCTCTGTCACGCATTTGTTCTCACCTTTTCCATGGGACTCCCTGGGAGTGCCTGTTGTGCCCTACAGGGTGGTTCATGTCTCTGGAGTAAGGGGAAAGAACTGCTTTCAGATATCAAAATGTTTGCTCTCTGTTTCCTTTTTGTTGGCTTAGAAACTGGTTGTTTCTATTTTCTGTCTCATCATTTACAAATTACGGATATTGATTATGGTCTGTTTCTTGCCATCTCTTCACCACGTTTTGGTGCTTTGGCAATTGCTGTGATAATGGAGGCTGGGCCCTTGAAACTCTGGCCATGCAAAGAAACATAGTAGACAATGCCCTCCCTGCTGGAGGACTTCAGATTTAAGTTTATTGCTTTATTTGGTACGTAATATCTTTTGCATACCAAAATGATCTAATTTTAGTTGTCCAAAAAATAGAAAATCTTTTCTAGCCCTCATCTGCAAAGCCTATTTTTAGCTCAAATTAAATAGTAGAAATGTGTTTATGTTCTGTGAGGCAACATTAGTATCTTCTTGGAAATTGTAATGGGTGAATGAAGCGTGTATTAAAGCATGTGTACCATGTTTTCTGCTGAAATGTTGCTACTTGTTCCTATGTGTTACATAGTGTTATAGGCAGGGAGACAAAGTGAGTAGGAGAGTTAAGGGAGAAGGATGATAAATTGCATAGTCTCCTTTGTCATAATAAGTTAAATATAAATGAGGTTATGACTATTGCAGTTTTAACAAGTTCTAATACTATTAA